TTACATATCTAAGGAGAGACAGAGAATGAATTAACTTGAAGTTAGCAGTTAACCAACGTTTGTGAAACTGGCCCCTAGGCTCCGTTTCACCACACTTGACTTTAATCTTAGTTTACTTCGTGTTTGTCTCTTTCTAAAGTAACGGTTGGAAAGAGAGACAAGGAACGAATTAAACTAACAACCGGGCCTTAAGGGGACGGTTAGAAAGAGTTAAGGGGATGAATGAAGCTAACAATGAAATCAAAGTTAAACGACGTTGGCGAAAACCGCGCTCTCGACGTTGTCGTCTTCGCGTCTCGACCTCGTGGAATTTGAAGCGCGTGCGCCTTCATTGATAATAGCACGCCGTCCGGCAACAGTCTCCGCCGTTAAATCTAGTTTCTTTTCTCATCCGGCGGATGAAAATCATCCCTCGCGACGAGTGGAGAAATTGAAAATCCCGTTTCAGCCACGAGCAATTAACGATCCCCCTGCGGACGGAGAGGCGTCCCCCGGGGCGTTCGACCCTGCGAGGAATGCAAGGTAACTGCAAATTTCCGGTAGACTAGATTCTAAGCGGGAATGGGCGTACACCTCGTTCCAACTCATTTTCCGCCCGTCCCCCTCGCTCCGGCAACAACCTCCGGGCGCACCGTTCACTTCCGATGCTCTCCGCGGCTCTTCCCTTTTTTACCTCATCGCCCGATCGCAATTGCGCCGCCGCCTTTGCGCGCGGCATCGTCCTCCGCCGTCGGGCTTCCTTTGCGTGTGTAAACCAGTTATCGCGTCTCGGTCTTGTCATTCCGCACGTCTTAACGTCGACGCGTGTAGAAGCGGTGTCTAAATTATTGTTCCGTTACACGAAAGATCTCGAATCCTTCGATTCAATTAACTTTTACTTGATATCAGGCCGCGTCCCTTTCAGATTTCGGTAGATCTTGAAGAGTTCCCCCACAGAAGTGTCAGGGAGATAATTACTAGAAAAGTACTGTACATCGGTCACTTCTAACGATTCAATTAATTTTTACTTGATATCATCCTTTTCAGATTTCAGTAGATCTTGACAAGTTTCCCTCCAAAACCTTAGTAGCACAGTGCATTGGCTAAACATTGGCTAAACATTGGTCCAATGTTGGTCACATTAGAAATGCATTGGACCAATATTGTCCAACGTAATGTTGGCCATGGAATAAATGTAAATATTGCACGATAATAATTAGATAATATTAGATTTATATGGAGGTGCATTGGCCAATATTTAACAATGTAATAAGAATTTGGTCTAATATTGATACAATATTAGACCAATCTTGCTAGTAATTGTTCAGTGCTTCTTTCGTTCCATCACATTTCTGGGGTTCGATTCTTGAATTCATTCGAAAGAGAGACGTATGCAAAAATTCTGCCCCCACAGAAAAGTCGAAAGTCGACTGGCTAAGACTGATACGAGTAGCCAATCAACTTGCGACTTTTCTGTAAGGGCAGAATTTCCGCACACGTTTCTCCTTCGAGTGAATTCAAGAATCGAGTCCCTGTAAGGGTTGCCGCCTCCCTCACCGGCCTTCTTCGCGAGACGAGGTAAATCCGTAGCTCGCGGAATGCGGAGCGTAGTCGTTATGTAATTTCACTTGAGCGTGGAAACTTTCGTTAACGGCGCGAATTTAATGATTCCATCAGCGGATCGGGACGTCAATCTTTCTGATGGATATCCCGATATCACTTCTACCTGGCGCGGTGGAAAGAGCTGTGCGCGATCATTGCTACCTGCTTTCTGCAACAGGTGCGCCGGGATCGTTAAGCGGATTGCAAAAGAGCGACGATTCGCGGTATGCGGGAATTACGAAGCGCGCGCGCTTATGCACACGCGAGCATTTACGAATCGATCCCGCGGCCATGTATACGTTCTAACACGCGGCCATTAGGTGCGCGCGGCCGAGCGGATGCTGAAAATCGCAAATATATCACGAGCCTGTCATTACCGGCTACGCTAAACCGCTGATTTACCGCAAATAGCCGCGTGGCATAATCAAATGCGTACATTGATCGCGCGAGAAGTTGCGTCATAATCTCGCATTACCTTTAAAGGACACGCAATCATTGAAATAATGCGATTTACCCTTCCACGTTCGTTATATTTCTAGTCGTTTTCGTCAAATTCTTGACGCGAGATTGATCGGAAGACCGATTTGTTTGGATAAACAAATAGAAATACAGAATTATTTTAAATGATTCATTCGATTTCAAGAGTGGCTATACTTTTTAATTTAAATACAAACCCTAGTAGCACAGTGCATTGGCTAAACATTGGCCCAATGCAACCAAACATTGGGTCAATGTTTAACCAATGTTTGGTCAATGCACTGTGCTACTAGGGTTTGCTACTCCCAGTGAGAAATGATTCGTCAATCGACGTCGAAACGATGTCGAATCGACATCGGCACCGTCAAATTGACGAATCATTTCTCGCTGGGCTAGGGAAGTGATTAGTGCTACGTCAACTAAAAGATAAATTGTCCAAGTTTTGTTTCTCGCGTTAAACTCCTTCAGCTTCAGCAGGAATAAGTATTTCTGATGCTTACCGGTTGCAATAAATTTGTCGTACAAGAATTGACAGCCGCGTCCTTTGTAGCATGAAGAAAGCAGGTCGGAGACCCACCGATGTTTTTAACCACAACGTGCTGATCGGGATGTCAAGCAACCACGAGGCTGCGGTAAACCGGAGCACAATGCAAAGTGCCTGCAAGCAAGTCCATTATCGCGAGTAGAAAATTGCATCGTGCAGAAAACTATTAGGAAAATATCAAACTGCAACTTTGTCTAAAATTTTATTAATCAACTATAGACTAATATTATAGACACACACACACACACACACACACACATACACTCATATATACACTTTTTCATGCATCTAAAAGTTTGTTTTATAAGTTTTCCAGCAAGCGATACAGTTGACAATGTCTCATCTATATTTCTTGCTGGAGAATACCCGAAGAACAAGATGCCATTTAATAGGAATATAAGTAATCAATCATAAAATAAAATGTATCTTGTAACGTTGTTACAAATTGAATCTAATATCAAAGATTAAAGCATTATACGTGCAGCTAAATGAATATTGAAATTGTATTGAAATTGTAATGATAACATTGTTTTATTAGTTTTAGAACCGTGATGTACTGAAAATTTGCGGAACAATAGCGTGATAATAAGGATAATGTTAACGTTTCAACCTCGTTAGCAAACAACACGGCAGTACCAGGTTCGAACTTGAATCACGAACAAAGTTAGTATGCGAGTAGTTTCTATTTTCTTACGATTACGTATTGTATATTGTAGATGTTATTTATTTGAAAAACAATTTTGCGTTATATTTTTTCTTTTTATTTCTCATTTGTCATCCTTTTCATATTTTGAAGGATTAAAAAAATGTTATCTTTTGTTTACAAAATACATGAATTTATTTCTTTTATAGAAATAAATATTTTATAGATCAAAAAAACCTTCAATAATTTCTATAATAATTCAAAAACTAGCACAGATTTGAAATAAAAAATAAATTTGTTACAAAATATTAACATAAATCAAAAGCTCATTTTAGAAAAAGTTTTAAGTATTTTCGAAAGAGAAAAAATTGATATTTTTCAAAAAAATACTATTGAAAAATTATGAAAAACAAAATTAAAAAATGACTCATTTTATAGCAATCAAATGGCGAATCGATTGTCCACATTTTAGTTTTGCAAAATCTTTTAAACCAAGGAAGGACAACAATTTAGAATCTGTGAATAGACCAGATATTCAATTCTGAAAAAAGTTCCAGCATAAGTCATGAAAAAATTCCGTCACGATTCAAATATCAATCAAGATCAAACCGAGCGAGAAAGAATGAAAAAAAAATCTCTGTAACTCTCAATAATAGAAAAATACACCGTTCCGATCCTAGAGAGTAAAATCCACTAGTTTAATCATTTTATTTGTTTTTACAGTCGCGTTACCTGCGTACGTTTTCTTCCATTGGAAAAATTAATTTATAGCTTACGTCACGTGCAGTGTAGATGCAAAACCACAGTGTACGTGACGTCGACTATAGATTAATTTTTCCTTTGGCAGAAACCGAACGCAGGCATCTTTTGAAAATGCGTTTCGATCTCCCGGCGTGCCAGGTACATGTGCGCGTGAAAGATAAAAATTCCTCGTGCCGAGTCGCACGCGCCTAAATGCAGCGTTAAGCCCTATCCTGGCACGCAACAGGAAACGCGAGCGGTCCGGTTTGAACAATGTGCCTGAAAAAGCGTATGACATACAATACGGTACAGCCACGACAGCCGGTACGTATTGCGTTTTACACACGCATTCGGGAGTGTCGGTCGATATTGCACGCGACGTGCGAATGAACTTCCGTGAAATCGCGCGTGAACCGGCCAATCGGATCGAAAATCCGCGTGCACTGTTATTAAGCGCGATTATCGAATTATTCTTGCAGTCTATTTGCTACAGACACCCCTGGTAGCACAATATATTGGAGCAATATTAAGAAATAATGTAAATCCATTAGTCCAATATTATAAAATGGGCGCCTTCTCTTATTTAGCCAATATGTCTATTTTGCAATATTGGTTTAATATTGTATCAATATTAGATCAATATTCTTATTACATTGTTAAATATTGGCCAATGCACTTGCAATGTAAATTTAATATTATATAATTATTATCGTGCGATATTCACATTTATTCCGTGGCCAAAATTACGTTGAACAAAATATTGGCCAATGGCATTTCTAATATGACCAACATTGGACCAATGTTTAGCCAATACACTGTATTAGCGTCGCTTATGGTACACAAAAGAGACGCGAGATTTCTCTCTATAAATCGTAGACTGAAACACACACTATCCGTTTATATTTACACATACAATTTTGTCACGGTACCGTTATAAGAGAGGAATTATCATTCCATGTACACGCACAAAACACACACGTGCACACATCTATAAATACTATTGAGGGCGGTATAATGGAATATTTAATGCCCAAACTGGTTTCAGGTAATTACTGAGAGACAAAACTGCGTCTCATCACGTATAACCGGTTTCCCTGGGGGCAGGCAACTCTTCGTACTTGGTGCAATGTCGTGTACAAAACTCCAGGTGCAACATGCTAAATGCGAATGGGACACGGTTGCGATAAGAAAAAAGAAAGACAATTACAAAATCTGAACGTAGAATACTATTCCTGATATGTACATGCCAATGTGCATACATAATTATACTTGCTCCGTATATGTGATTTATTGTATAATCATTATTTATACCATGTATTCTCTAATTAGATAAGCAGCAGGATTATTTTAAATAAATATGATCGCAGGAAAAACATATGTCGCAAAATACATAGGATTGAATAAATATTATTAATGCTTATTTACATATATTATACCAATAAAGTTAAAACTTACAGTAAAATTACATGGTAAGTGGATTTTCTTTACATTTATTTATGTTACAGATAATTCAATTAATGTACATATTTCAATAATAAATGTATTTATATTGAAAATTTAATCAGCTTAATTATACTTGATCCTTTACTTTTTTTACAATTGCGATTTCGATATAAACAATATATGAAAAATGGATGCACAATATATTAGAAAAAATTCTCCAAAAACAGTGGAATGACCAGAAAATTATGATACAATAATACTAAAAGTGTCGAGAAAATATATTTTAAAAAGCTTTGAATTGTTATCTGTTAGCAGAACTTCTTTTCAGACTGCTTGTATATAAGAAAGAACATCTTCTTTTAAATATCTCTTAGGCATACTTTCTTTGTCGGTCACACTCCAAGAGAATTCCAATATAGCTGTAGGAATTAATCGTAATTCTAAAAGCGTCTTTACATGACATTCCTCTATCAGCTTAATCCCGTCCGGTGTTATCAGCAAAAAGGACACTCTGTCGTCGACTAAATTTTCAGCAACAAATTCGATTACATTCTGGAACTTCTCGTATACCGAAAAAGTACCTTGTAATATTATTCCATCTGGAAATTTAATGCGAAGCACCGTGAATTTATATCTTCTAAGTACACGCTGCTCATCCTTCTCCCTCATAACTTTCGTTCTTAACATTTGGTTCCTTTCCACAGCCTCCGTCCTAGTAATAATCAATGTTTCCATTTAATCAGATTATCTGGATATTCCGAAACGTCTTGCCATTAAATATACGATGTATATGAACTTACCGCAACTGTTGTTCCTTTTTTATCTCTTCGGGAGTTATTGTGAAGAAGCTGGGTGGCAATTCATTTCTCACGCGAGCCTGACTAGGCATTAATACTTGTAAGTTCCTGTCCAACTCGATAGGAATGGGCTCAGCGGATCTTAATGCTTCATTTAACATTGTAAGATTCTCGATGTTACAATTATCGGGACTCCATACTAAGAAATCTTCTTCGTTCTCATTATGCAGTAATTGTTTCTGATCAAAACCAGCTGCTTTTAGAAAATCTAGTGCCCCTTCAACGGGCAAAACTTTTTCCTGTAAGAATTATACATGTATTATATGTATAAGCTACTCCAACATCAGTCACGGCTATTTTCAGTTAGCTGTTAAAAACTGCAGCATTACTTGGAATATTCTGTTACACATCCTGATTTTCCAATACTTCTCGACGTCGGGATTATTAATAATATTGTCCAAATATTTGCCAAGTGTTTCTACACAGCCTTCGATTTTCTCTTTTCCAGAATTGCAGCTTTGAATAATCAGACACGCCGTTAATCCCGCTTCCTCTCCCATTAACTGCTCGTACAGAAATTCCCTTATCTTCTTTTTCCACTCGTCCCGCAGCAATATCTCGTCGGACAAATACGGGCAACGGAAAAACACATCGGTGACCGCGAAAATAGAAGGATCCACAACTTTGTCCTTCTTCTCTTTCAACGCCGTAGTTTCCGCCTCTTGTCCACTCTGCTGTGCTTTCCTTTCCAATTCCAGCTCACGCTTAACGCGTGCTTGAATGGCAGCGTACGATCTGTGAATAATCACGGCATTAATTAGATTGACGGGACGAAAGCTCCACTAACACGCTGATTAAATAAAGCTAAATATAAACGTGTACAGTGATAAATAGAAACGATCTTAAATATTACACGCACGTATTAAATCTTGGTTTGTCATTTCTTTTCGCCTCGAATCTTGCTAAAGCAGCTTGGCCTGCTGTCTTAGCCTCCTCCGTAGGCTCCGCTCTCCTAGCTGGCTCTTTAGACTCCTTTGGGGTACATATAGTGCTGGTGGACTCAGTCAATCTATATGGAAAAGTAAATTGAAAGTTAGCGCAATTAGATGTCATTAATTATTCTATCAATAGACGTCATCGCTAAATCTACAATGACAATTTATGTTATTGTGGCAATTACTTGTATCCCTTTCCCGCCTTCATAAACTTCGCATTCGCTTTCTTCTTTTGAAAGAAGGACTTGATTTTATCAGCCATTTTTGTTAGATGTAAGATCGCTATCTAGCCTGAATGTACGATACAAGTCTATTCGGTTGACGAATTACAATCTTCGGCAGCGCCTGAAAGGTAAAATATTTTTAAAATCTGTTGATCCATTTTTCAAAGATGCTACCATTACTTTACTATTGTGTACTTTCGTCAATTTATATTTGTCAAGTATATCAGGGTAAGATAAAGGTGTAAACGTTATCCTTTATGTAGAGGAAAGCTCTTTATTGTCAGATAGGCTTCTAATATGAGACGGCAGGTTTTCAACGTCAAAATTTTATCGCGAATCAAATTTCGCTCCTAGGGCAAACAAATTAACGATGAAACCAATAGACGATGCCTGTTAATTTAGCAAAAGCCCTGCTATCTGATATCAGGGGACTTTCCTCTCTCGAGAAATATTATAATAATAATGATCTTATCATTGTAGAATCATTATTATTCAATATCAAGTATTATTTAATACGATTACCTACCTCTATGAATATCAGAGATACAAATAAATTCAATCGCAAATCTTTTCTCGCGAGATTACACGATCCAACGGCGAATTTGCCACTAAACCGATTTCGGGTCACGGGCAATAAAATTATGGTGGAACAAACAGATGATGAATAAACAGATAGCATAATATTAATTTTTACGGTGTCACGCGGGAAGAGCGCGTTGCCCGCGCGGTCTCACCTGTCTTCATGAATTGCTCCGTAATTCTGGAGCCATAAACGTGCCAGGCGACGAAGATCAACGCCACGCTGCTCGCGAACGTCAGCAGGAAGACCTTGAGCAGTTGCAGCTGAAAGTCGTCGAACGAGAGCAGTGCCAGCAGCCCGTGGAGGAGCTCGCGGAGCTTCAACGACGTCTCGTCATCGAGGATGACGACGTCGCCGAAATTGAAGGTTAGACCGAACGTCGTCGACAGAAACGATAACAGGTTGAGCACGCACTTATTGATCGCCTCCGACAAATAGTTCGTCCAAGGACACGAATCCTCACATGCGCTGCTCATCACATGAGGCAGAGGTTCTTGGTGCCGGAATTATTCGCCCGCGCCCAAACCAGTCCTCGGGGGAGCCCGTCGAGATCCTATCGCAGCCCGCAATTGACGAAATATCGAACCCACGGAAAGCCAGGTTTCCGGTCATCGCGTCGGTAAATGGCATAATTCGAAGGCAGTGCGCGGCGCCTATCTCGGTGGTTTTCGGAACGCGCGCAAATCACGGGACAACAGATTTCGATTCTCGCAGAGGAACGGCTTCGATCGAGAAATCTCTCCAGTCAACTTGTTAAATAATACGGATAATTGATCAAATAATTGCTGGCACTGATTCACCAGTGCAGCGATAGAAAACGAGGTCATTATGAGCTTAAATTCACATGAGCGGATTCACTTTTTTCAAATTCCTTATGAATTACGGGTAAAGAATTTTTCGTGCGTAAGCATATAAAATATACAGGGTGAATCTTAATTATACAGAGTGAATCAGAGCAGTTGTTGCAACTTTTTACCATAGGAGATGAATTACCGACCGCAACTGTAGCCAAACCTAGAAAAAATGGAAAAAATCTCGTTATATGCGTCTCAGTCATGTAATATCTACTTATATTTCTCGAGGTACAATTAGATATTACATTATTGAGACATGTATAACGAGATTTTTCCATTTTTTGCCGGGCTGGCTACAGTTTCGGTCGGTAACCTATCTCTCATGGTAAAGGACTGGTTCCCAAAATAAAACTCACCCTGTATAATTAAAAGTAAACAATTTTTCACATAAAAAAAATGTTCATATAAAAGCGTATATAAAAATTTATAAAATTACACAGAACTGTATAGAATTGTCTAAAATTATATAGAAACACACAATGTAAAAATATGTATACACATTCGATGTATGTACATTTTTATACACGTATAATTCCACATGTTTATTCATGTTCGTACATGAACAAGTTTTTACCGGGTTAGCGTAATCTCTTCGAAATGAATGCGAATTATTACTTTCCGCTAGGATGCCGTATACCTTTTGGACTCAAAAAGCGGCAAGAGTTATTGTGCAGATCGAATTCTTTTTAAGAAAGTTTTTAGAGGGGAAATGGAATGGACGGAGAATTCATTTCGCAACTCAAATTCCTGTAGAATTCTCGCTATTTAGCTTTTTACCTCAATCAACCTATCCTCTATTAGCCCATAAAACTTTCGCACCCACGTATGTACGCGCGCTGTTACGTCACCGTTGCCGCACACGCGCATGCGTGAGAAAAGTGCGAAGGACGCATCTGGAACAACTGACAACCGCGTTGCTGTTCGAACCGGTCGCAGCTTTGATCAACGAGGACGAGCTGATATTCCGTGATGACAATTGTAGAGGAAGTCATGGCGGAGCGTTCGCATTTTCGACTCAAGGTGAACCTGTCCAAGTTCTTTCACGATGCGCGCCAATTCTGCTGGATCTTCGTCGACGGAACGAAGATCCAGCAGGTTATCCACATGAAGCAGCACATCAGCAACTTATTCAACATCACAGAGCCGTTCCATTTGATGCTGAACGACACCGAGTATCTGCCGCCGATAGAAGATGTGCGTATACTTAAGGAGAACGAGACGATCCTGTTAGTACAATCGGTATTTTTTAATGTTTCTGTTACCTTTCATTTATTTCGCAGCTATGACAATTTCTCGTTTCGAGTCGAGGCCCGGGGTTTCGTCTTCTGGTTGACTGTTGACCGGTCTCGTCTTAGATAATATGAGAAAAAGATGGCGAGTAGACTGATCTTTGGTTAACGGTTGATCAGAAAACGACAAACTGGGCCCATTATATCACAAGACTGCTGAAGAGCTGCCTACAAATGCTTTCAAGTATTTCAATGAAATTGAAGAGAAAGAGAAGTTAGTCGAATATCTGTGACCCTGGTTTTTTTTATTTTCTGGTTAAAATCGCCCTCTCCATCCTTCTCTGTATTATTATCTGAGGTCCAATTTCTTTACTTTCTGGTTAACTGTTAACCAGAAGTTAGTCGACTTTGTCTCATCTTGGATAATATAAGAAAAAGATGGAGAGTCGACTAACGTTTGGTTTAGTCGAGTTCAGTCTCTTCTCAGGCCTGGCTTTTCATTATCTGGTTAACTGTTAACCAAAGGTTAGTCGACTCTGTCTCATCTTGGATAATATAAGAAAAAGATGGAGAGTTGACTAACCTTTGGCTAATAGTTAATCAGAAAATGAGAACCTGGGCCCAATTGTATCACAAGGCTGCTGAAGGGCTGCCTACCAATGCTTTCAAGTATTTCGATGAAATTGAAGAGAAACGCTTTGAAGCATTTGTAGCAGCAGCTTGACCAGAATCGCGCCAACGATTTGACTCGTCTCATATTTCATTATCCACAATCCAGAATACACGGAATGAGGATTGGGATGAAACACGAGATCTGCCAAATAGTTGACCACTCTTATACAATTATGTGTCACCCCAAATTAATTATGAAACTTGATTAGGTTGATTTCGTGTTGTTTTATTAACAATCTGATACATTACAGGGTAGTTCCTGGATCGGGCATAAATAATAAAGTTCCTGATAGTACGGAAACGAGCAATGATTCTGTATGTGATGTGCAGGTCCATGCGACAGATGTTAAAACAGAAATAGTTGCACAGAATACGTCTATTCTGAATAATACACAAGCAACTTCACTAAGTCAGTTTGTTTCATGTGCTGTAAAAGTTAATGAAAGGCAGATTTTTGTTTTATAATATGATCACTGATAAATCGCTTGTATTTTAGGTAATGTCACGAGAGATATGACGTTCTACAGTATGATTAGTGATACAGCGGAGGAGCGTAGCGAAGGAGATACAAATTCTAAAATTACGGATGACAATTTTACAGAGAGTAACGTAACAGATTCTATTATACCGAGTGCAAAAAGGAAAAGAGTGCGGAAACGAAAGTCAAAAAGTCAACCTCGGCTCATTCTATCACCTTTTAATACAACTGAAAAAAACGCTTCAAATGAATTAAAATCGAAGAAACTAAAAATAACAAGTTCCTATACTCTTCCGCCTGAGAAACATATACGATTTGTCAATACAGAAGATGATGAAGATAACATTGCAAAACAAATAGTGCAAGAAGTATCCAAAGACTCGCATTCAAGTAATGTGTCACCTTCCAAGGATCTTTCTACACTTCTAGCATTAGGACAAAGCTCAACGCCAATAACGTTTGTCAACAAAAAATTGAAAAGCTCAATTGCAACAGAAAATGTATCAAGTGATGAAGTCACAAACACAGATTCAATTAAAAAGGCAGAGAATGTAATTACAAATATATGTAGGATGGAAGGATTGAAGATTACGGAAAGATATAAGAGTTTGTGTGCTGAGCTGGAGAAGATTCCAGCCATGACGAGAAAGCCTCAAATTAAAGACTTTATTGCCTTCAAAGTATGTACTGTACATTGTGCCTTAAAACCAACTGCATCTTTCCGTCAACAGTAACTTTTTCTTAAATTTCAGACTTTGAAGCTCGGCGCGAATTATACGCCTCAGATGTCCAGTTTTATTTTTACCGAAGTAATAGACTATTCTGCGGAGTCGGGAAATTATAATCTTCGTATATTCTGTAAGTAACATTGTGTATATTTTAAACTATATTTAAAATATGTAAGTTGAAAATATTTAAAGGTGTATTTGGTGATTCCGTGTTATTTTACAGTTGGTAGAGAAGAAATCGCCAAGGAAGTGCCATCCGGAAAGTTCTCCGTCACGCAAGAGGAGTCATTTATTGGAGATACATTTGTAATTAATTACTCACAAATGATGGAACTGCGTCTAATTTCATAATCTTTCTTTTTTTTTATGCGCACTTATTTCTACATTTAACTTCATTTTATTCAAGACAACTATATTAATTTTATGTTCTTTTTAATTTTCATTTACATAATTTTCTGTTCGTATGCGTTCGAATTTATTATAACGCTGTAATCAGTTTTGTTTTTCTTTAACAGTTTTATATCGATACAATCTAATTTTACATTAATACGAAAAATTTGTGATGCCAAATATGTTTAAGTTAGCTAGTTACATATTGGTTTACTAATACTTGTTTATGTTTAGATAAAATAACGATTCATTTCGTTTTTCTTATAGTTTACTCATAGTTTCTTACTGTGTATCTCAAGAAAGATTAATATTAATGAAAATATCAAATGAACGTTATCGAATCTATTTATCACGAAGGATGTAAATGATGTTTATATGTAAAAAAATTTCGTTTAAGTTCAACATTACGTGTAATTTACAAAGTATAAGTGCTTACCAAATTACCATTGTCAAATGTCCTGTAAGATATCTTTATACCCGGTATATTTTAATTTTCTAATAAATAATTATAAATTTAAGAATATGCGCAGCACTCATTTATTTTATACATTACGTGTTGCAGCTGGATATATTTTTTATTATTGTGTAACTTGCAATGTAGATTCAAGAGAAATTATCTAAAGAGTATACTTAAAAAAATTCACAATCAAATGAAAGTATCTTTAAACGATCTTTGTCAATTCTGTTAGGTGAATTTAATTATATTTTTTATTATTGTGCAACTTGCAATGTAGATTCAAGAGGAATTATCTGAAGAGTGTACTTAAACAATTCACAATTAAATGAAAGTATCGTCAAACGATCTTTGTCAATTCTGTCAGATGAATTTAATCGCCGGTCGCGGCTGCGATCAAGCTGTCGCTTCAAATGTTTCCAAGTATTCTTCTTTCTTTCACTAAAGATAGAAAGAGAGAAAGCGAAGTAAACCACTTCAAAGCGTTTGTAGCGGCAGCTTGACCGCACCGAAGTCACGGAGGGGAGAATCGAGAGGTTGGAGCAACGCGATTGGTCGAAATCCCACCGTAACGTCTTATGGAAAGCGTGCGTGGCTAGCATCACCGATTCTATTGGACAAGGCTGCCTGCCTCGCTACCATATGTCGAAATCTGATTGGCCTAGCTCGCTCCCCCTCCCTTCCGTTCGCTATCGCGACCCCCCACTCTCTCGCCCACCTGTTTTTCCCCTCCACCGTGAATCAGTACTCGAGTTGCGCGGTCGCACTCGAAGATGGCACTGAAAATCACGGCCGCGGAGAGCGGTCGGGTCTACAGTTCTACACGCGTCTCTTCCATCTAGTTCTCGCTGAACAGTGACCAGTGCTTTCTGAACCCTAATTGGAGAGCGCCGCTCCGAGTTCCTTCTGCACTCCGCTTCCGTCTGCCAATTGATTATCTGTAATGGCTATATTGTACACACTGTGATCGAATTATCGTAGGCCTCGTTGCGCGATCGTTGCGGGATTCGGTACGTAAACACGCGAGGGAGGGAAAAAGCAGCGATACCATGGTGCAGCAATACCAGTCGCCCGTGCGAGTCTACAAGCATCCTTTCGCTCTTGTCATGATGGTGTGTTTAATGCTATGCAGCCTTCAAACTTGCCTGTCATAAAATATTTATCGCCTTTCGTGCTCCTACGTCCTTCGCGGCACATATGCCGTATCCCAGAAAATCCAATAAACGATTCCCTCCACACGAGCGCCCGTATCGAGCTGTGCGTGCGGAGGCGGCAGACAGCTGTCTCTGAAATGTCCCTTTCTTTTTTTTCTCTCTCTCCTTTCTCCCGAGCCCTTTAAACGCCCCTTCCTCCCGACACCGCGCGCGCACCAATTTTTTGCCCCCCTCCCCCCTCGATCTTTTTGCTCGCCCGTGTGGCATATTCGCCGATAACCAGTTCGCGACGCGATGCGCCGAAACAAAGGGGCATTTGACGTCTCGGTTCTCTTGCAGGCGTACGAGCGCAGGTTTCCGACGTGTCCACAGATACCAGTTTTTATCGGCTGTGAAGTTATGCTGGACGAAGAGAGCGAGGACGGCGCTGTTAGAACCACCGAGAGGCGGTGTAAATTAAATGTCGAGGCGCCTTATATCTTGAAGAAGGTTCGTCTATACGCACACGTAAAAGAGGACGAGTCCTCGTACTTTGACTCATTTTCTTCCTACCGCGAAAATCTGCCGTCGACAAGTGTCGGCGGTGGAAAAATGTCTGTACGTGTATGCGAAAAAGAAAGAGCTCTAGTGCTTCAACTCATTTTTTCCCCACTGCAAAAATCTCGCCGTCAGCTGAAACATTCTGCACCTCCAACACTAGCTTTTACTCGTCTCTTAGGAAATAATGCGGTAGCCGCGAAAAATTTCGTTTAAATTGCCACCGACAAGTTTCTTTATTAGTAGAGAGCGGTCCCCTATTGTGAGACAGGCTCCTAATACGAGACAGCGGACTTTCTGCTAAATTAAATAGGCATCACTTGTTGGTGCCGCCAATTTATTGCCCCTGGAGTGAAATCTGCTTGGCGGAAAATTGATTATTAGATCGTGTAATCGTTGCGAAAAGAAGATTCGCGATGGAATTTAGACGTTAAAAGCCTATTAGCTCATATTAGAATCCTATCTCATGATAGAGGACTTTTATCTCTAAATCCTAATAATTAATTATTCACCAATTAATTGGTTGCAGATAATTGGTGTGGATTTTGTATACTTTATTCAAAGGAACGTTTTAAATAGGCGCAATAGTGTTTTAGAAATAGAAGCGTACAACGAAAGCTTTGCCACTAGAGTCACTGTTATAGAAAAATGTAAATATTTCGTAAGTATTATATATATAAATATTAATTATACAAAAGAGACACTTCGTGTGATATGTGATAAGAATATTAATTTGGCCTCGCAAATTCGCGTGGCCTTTTGTTACTTTGTATCAGGAGTGTCTAGAATGCTTTCTTACCTCATACGTGTATAATTACGCAGCCTAATGATTCTGTTGCACACTCAGATTCATCCTGAAAATCCAGAATGGACTTGTTTCGAGCAAACGGCGAGTTTGGATATTAAAAACTTTTTTGGTTTCGAAAACTCAATGGAAAAGTTGTCGATGAAGCAGTATGCACAAAATATTGCTAAGGTAATAAGAATCTATCGTTAGACCAACTAATATAATAAACGTGACGCGATAATACGCGTAAGAATTGTCTTGTTTTACGAAACGCAATCGCGTCATGTGTGATCACAGGGTAAGGAAATTATCGAGTATTTCATAAACCAACTGAAGGAAGAAGGCATTACTTATGTCGCCCCATGGAAAGATCCACGGGAAGCGTCCTCCGAAGAAGAGAAGTAAGTATGCGTTGAAATAAATGCAATTGAATACGTTAGAGTCCTTCTATACATCTTAATTGCATAAATTTCACGTTGCTTGTAAGGGAACATCATGACGGGCGAGCACCTCAGACATCAAGAGCACATACATACACACACGCGTATACAAGTGATTGTTTTTATAAAATATTTAGAATCTTAATTGTAACATCTTACAATTTTAATTTCCAGCAGTAAACATTTAACACATTTTACCTAAATTCATACTAACAATTTATATTGAGCAATGTTTTCGGTCTGCAATGGTTACTTTTTTTATGTAGGAAAAATGTGGACGAAAATAGTGAGTTATATAGTGACAAAGAATTATGTAATACCGACAGCAAACTGCCCAGCAACAGAGGTATATTTTCCTCCTTAATGCATGCGTTGTTTACCAAGTATCTTATTATTTATTCATTTTCAATGACACTAGCAGTTATTTTCCGTCTCCTTTAATTGTAGAGATGCAACTGTCGTCGGATTATATAGAGAGATACTTAGGAAAACTAGATATGATACAGGAGAGCAAGTTAGTGCAGCTCAGACATAGCATTGCAGAACTGAGGGGTAGTTCCGCACCAGGTTATGCAACGCTCCTACGGTTCCTGAGGGCCACAGAATTCTCGGTTGAGAAGGCCAGAGAAATGTTGACGCAATCCTTACATTGGAGGAAGAAGCATCAGATCGATAAACTTCTCGATGAATATGAAATGCCGCAAGTAATTAAAGATTACTTTCCTGGCGGCTGGCATCACTTCGATAAAGGTAATCAGTTAATAATAAGTTTGCTGTAAATGTCACGACATCCTAAGTTATGCTATGAAATATGATGAGTCAGTATATGTGATCTAAGGAAATATCTGATGTAACATCATACATATTTTATTTATACATTCTTTGATGTAGACGGACGACCTTTATATATATTGAGGTTGGGTCAGATGGATGTTAAAGGTCTACTTAAATCGATTGGGGAAGATGAATTGTTATTACTAGTAAGTTGGGTTTACCTTCCAAATATTTTACAATCAAAAAGTTATCGAAACTACTTACCATTTTACTTTTCTATAGGCTTTACATATCTGCGAGGAAGGTCTGCACTTGATGGAAGAAGCTACTACTTTTTGGGATCATCCAGTATCCCAATGGACGCTATTGATAGATTTAGAAGGTTTAAATATGCGACATCTATGGAGGCCTGGAATAAAGGTATGAACGTATCAAGTGTGAAATTAATTACTTATATAGCTGTAATTAATTTCTCGATATAATGCTATAAATTGTTGTATCATTTGTCGTAATAATTTACGTTTGTTTTATTTGCACCAGGCATTATTGCGAATAATAGAAATAGTTGAAGCAAATTATCCAGAGACAATGGGAAGGGTTCTAATCATGCGTGCCCCCAGATGTTTCCCTATCTTATGGACACTCATCAGCACTTTTATTAGTAAGGATCTCAACAATTAATTTACTTGTGCGAAATAACATTTCACTAATCATGTCGTATATCGAAATTGCAGATGAAAATACTAGGAAAAAGTTCATTTTTTATTGTGGTACAGACTACCAAGAACAGGGACCTGGAGGTCTTAGCGAATACATTACTCAAGAATTTATTCCTGATTTTCTTGGTGGCTCCTCAGAGGTAAGATGTAATAATGATATTAATAACAATTATTGCAAGTGTCATACTCATTAACATAAGAATTTAGTTTATTTAATATACAATTGCATACTTATGACTTCTTTATATTATCTACTATAAAAATCAGTATATTACATAAGGACACATTTAACAGATTCTACATGATCTATCTTTTATATCGTTAACAATTTATCTTGTCCGTTTTATCTTAGAAAAAAATGTAATATATATTATACCGGTTATTAATGCCAATGTGGTTTTTGTGCGGTTCTACCTTTTGAATATTTTATGAAATTCCCAACATTTTTTCCTTACAAAAATTTAATGTATATTATACCGATTATTATGCCAATATATTTTTTATGCGGTTCGACCTTTTGAATATTTAATGAAATTTCGAACGTGTTTGCCTCTTTTTTGAAAAAAAAGCGATAGTGTAATTTTTTAACTTCATTTACATTGGAGTAATATATCTTTTGTATACGTGTTGAATAATAGGAAATGAATATATGCGAAGTCTATAATATGGTACCTCGAAGATTTTACATTTTCGACGCAACTGCGAACAGCGTAAGGAAACGATACAAAATTTATGTTAAATATGTTGTAGAAGTTCTTTTCTGCAGCTAAGTGGCTTTAGTGAAAAAGATGTGACGTTTTTATAATTATTAAAAATGCACATTGTGTATCATTATACATATATTAGAAATGTCAAAGACAATTGGTCAGAAAATTATCACGTGTTACATCAGCAGTTGCTAGATACATAGGCATTGTCTGTACGTCGTGTTCGTATGTCCTTATCTTGTGATATATCATTCATATTTGAGGCAAAATCATTTTATACAAATCATCTGTTATAATTTTTTAATTCATTTATAAAGTATAGGAATTTCATCGACAATCTACATTGAAACATTATTTATGTGTATTGTCAAATATCTTGATAGAAATACATATAATTTTATAATACAATCAAGATTGTGTACTTATGTAATGCACGCAAGTTGAAGCACAAATTGAAAAATATAGATCACTGCGCGCACAAAAAGTGAAGTAATTTTGCGTGCTCTTGCTAGTTAAATTTCAGAGTATTTTACATAAATTAAGCTTAAAAGCCTCTACCGTAAATGACATTAAATTACATGTACTTAGACTGTGAATAATTCATGAAGATCTGAAATTTGATTAGCTATTAATTCCTGTTTTAAATCTTACTTAAATATCTTTACAATTATAAGCAACCTAAATGAGTACATCAAAATCTTTTTTTATGTCAAATACCAGACATACGTGATGGAAGGTGGAGTTGTGCCTAAGAACTTATACAAAGTGGATTTGGAGGGTACCTCTGGTGAACACGAGCACAGCCTGTATCACTCTATCAGTTTGAGCCGTGGTCAAACTCATCACGTGTTCATAGAATCGGATGATCCGGGTGCTGTTTTGACGTGGGACTTCGACGTAATGCGGCATAACGTCATATTTACAGTGCTTCACAAATCTCGAAACAGTGAAAACGGTGCTATCTCAGGTGCATCTTAAAACAGATTTATCAAGAAACGTACGCGACATTGTTTTACAGCTCAGAGTAACATAATATGCAATGATTATTTTACAGAACTTCCAGAGCTCGCAATAGGTGGTGATCATGAAATTGTTGCTGCGAAAGAGTTAAAAGATTACATTAAAGTCGAACACAGCATAATTTGTCACGACGGTGAAAGCATTCAAGTAGGTACTCACATAATTTATGTATTAATATGTGACAGGGTCGATAGATATACATATATATTCACGCATACTTAGGTCCAAGTATTTGAACAAGATTCGAAAATATATAAAAGTTTATTTTTAATGTAATTTGATTAATTCTATTGTACTAAAAACACGATTCAATAATGATTAAAATAATTTATTCTTTATTTTATATATTCTAAATTATATTAAAGAATTTGTTTATAAATTTGTTTATGATGAAGGAATATATATAATTCTGTCGTAACTTGTCTAGATTTTTGTATAATAGTTTTAATATTATAGTTTTTGGTAATTTCGTACAATAATATACAATTACACAGTTATTGCTTCTACTAATTACTAATGTTTTTTTTTATTATAGGGGACTCATATCATGCAGGATACGGGTACTTATGCATTACAATGGCAAAATCAAGAAGATCAAGCCGAATTTCTTCCATCTATTAGTTCTCATAAGGCTCAACTTATGTATTTTTATGAAACCTTGCCATCTGCACATTACAGGTATTTATGTAACACATACTTACATAATGCATATATGGTGTATATTTGTCACTTTTACGTGGAATAATCTTATAATGGCATTTTTATTGGCTTCCTTTAGAGGTTCAATGATGAGTTTGCAGTCGGCTATAAGCGGAAGGTCAGAGGCTAGCTCATCTTTATCTAGATGAAAGACGATGAAAATGGACGTTGAATAGCAGGAGACATAAAACTTAATTCATAATATTTTAGCAATATGTGTTATAAACCTCGTTTATATTTAACGGGACTAAAATTTAAGGACTAAAATATGAATCATATTTTAGTCTAATATTTTAATTTTGTAGACGCGGTAGAGTTTCATTGTACACGTCAATCCAAATACTGCTCCAAAAATCTCAAGCCTAAAATACTCATCTCGATAATTATACATACATAGCTGTTAAACAATAATACAGTATATAATAATGTTGTCTAATATTTAAACTTTATTTTTTCATATAAAAATAAATTAGATGAAATTTAATACTCAGAATAAACTCGTGTACAATATCGATGTGGAGTTTGTCCGACACTCCTGTCACCCCTTAAAGCCTTAGAACATGTACATATAAACTAATGAAGATTAATTCTAAATGGATACTTGAAACACATAAACTATTATAAATAATTATAGTCAATTACAATGCATAATCTAAAACGACACTAAGAATGCTCATACTGTCGATAGCGAATGTTGTATAGAAATATAGCAGAGAAAGATTTCGTATAAGAAATTACCTTTAATCACCAAGACACAATTTGTGAGAACGCAAACTCTTATCAATTAATTATATCAATTAATAGAAACATCTTTCTGTCTTAATAAATTTTGTCTTGTTGATTATTGATTGTAATTGTAATAGTTTAAGTGAGGAAACAACATATTTTTCAAATGCAGATTTTTAGAATGAGCAGTGTTTTCCCTAGAATAATATAGCGAAATAAAATTGTATGGCTGGCCAATACTTGTTAAATAGTTAGTTAAAGATATTACATTTACCACTCATCACTAGGATACAATTAGGTATTTTAAAATATAGTTGTGTAACTAGTATACGCAAAATGTGTTTGGCAGATTATGTGAAGTAAGATGCATATGAATATTAATGCACTTTATCATTGATTGAATAATAAACGGAGATATTTGTGTAGAATTTATTATAATACTATCCATAGTATTCAACTTGCATCTTCTTTGCGGCTAGAAATTATATAGCATTAAAAAAAATTACGATATTATTTCGAAGTAATGCGGGGTCTACAATGTGCGAGTCTCAGAGTCGTAGTCGTAAGAATAGAATATCGATTATGACTAGTCAATTCTCATGTGTCTGACGAAATTGACAATTATATTTGCCACTTTCCTTGTTAAACGTGTCGTGATTGGTTCTCACTATTTTACTCCGATCGGAATCAACTTTTCGCTTGCTATCAAGGTGTTGGAAACTTTCCAATCAAATCAGAAACAATCCGAACGTCCATGATAAGACAATATAGGGAAAACGAAATAATTCCGATCGGAATCCAGTACGACCATGTCCATGATAGGTGCCCAGACTAGGATAAATAAATGAACATTCAGAATAGTGTGTTGTAACAATTTCTTTTTGGTTTTTTTATAACACTTTTATAAGTTCACTTTTATAATCATACTCGGGATCTAAGAAGAGTATATATTCTTCGCAACCGTACATTTATGGATCCATTGCGGAGTAATGTATGTATGAAATATTTCGACATTACTAGACTAGGATATACATATGCATATGTAGTATATATTCCCAGAGCTATGTATCCTTACACATGTCATGCAGAAACTCAAATACTTTTCAATTCATCTTAAGAAGAGATAAAATTTAAAAGTATTTCGTATTAAAAGTTATTAAATATGTAAAAAATTTGCTCTTTGCATAAAAACAAAGAGACAAAGTACAAAAATGGTACAAAAATCGTATTTACGTATGTTATGTCTTTATGTAGTATGTTTATTTGTTTAAAAAAAATTAAAAATGCAATACAAGGGCTACATAAAAAAATATATTTATTTATTTATAGTTTAAAAATCTTTTATGTTTGAAATTTTTCTCGATATACATCATATCCAATACGATCCTGAATAAATGAAATACTTGGAAATATAAACAATGTAGACATAATTATATATTATTATAATAAATTATACCTTTCTGTCATTTTCAATTAAAATGAACTCATACAAATATATTATTTCCATCTCTTTTCATAAGATGTTGTATTCATAATATTTCAATAAACACTATGTTGAATATAAGATGTGTAGAAATATTTTATAAATTCAGTTTCTAATTGGTAAATTGTTAATGTATTCAATAATGTGATACATATGTAAATATTAGGCAAATAGTTTGGAATGTTTTTTTCCCATTTTAATCTCCGATTAATTTCAGGCATATTGAAATTATATGCAAATAATAAAAAAAGGTAGATTAATATACCATAATAATTGGTAAAATAATAAAAGTGGAAGGTTTATGAGACAAACAAACGGAGATACAGTTTTAAACAATATAATTCGGTTTATTGATCTCTACAACTGTGGAACGTTTCGAGCTTCACTGAGCCTGCATCAGCTATAAATTATGAAATTTTTATTCATTGACTGTACTTTTATTTCCTGGTTTGTAAATTTTTTATTATGACCTCATATAGATACATAGATTATTTCCATTTATTTTCTACTTATTTATTTATTTATGTAGGCTTTGATATAGTCATTGATCACTTTACTGTACCTATTGTGTTTTGTTTAATACTTGCATCAATATACTGTTACTTAGAACCAATTCTTTCATTCAGTTTTTCCAGTTAATATTATCATTTGCAACATCGCGATAAAGACTTAGCGAAGTTCAAAATGTTCCGCAAATTATTATAAACTTCAATAAATTGAATTATGTTGTTTAAATCCATATTTCGCTCGTTATTTTTCGTATTAACCTTTTGCTTCATATTACAAATTATGAAATTATTATTTGATATAAGTATATTGAAATATTAACAATTAGATCGTACCGAGGCTTCAAAATATCATATTTAAAATAATAATTCACGCAGAATAATATAAATATTTGTGTGTAGAAGCTTTTGAAGTTACCCAATATCTTTTTCACAAATATCAATTCTGCTTCGCAGTTGTAACTGGACTTAGAATATCAAATAGAATATATAAAAATTGATATTATGCCTATTATGTACGTCTTTGACTACTTATAAAGTGATGTTTAGATGTGATGACTGAAATGTATCAAGGAAGACAGCAACCTCTATCTATCAATTGATCGTAGAAGTTAGTTCAGAATTAACGACGTTAAAACGTGGGGCTGAAAAAATTCAGATTTCTCCACGTTCTAGAGCTGAGGCAAGCAGAGGTTAGGCTACTTTGATATTATTACCATTTTTGTAAAGAAGTTTAAAAAGAGAAATGCCAAGGTACAATAACGCTGCATTAAGGAGGATGGTTGCTGAAATAAAAATGATAAAAATAAATTCAAATTTATAGAAAATATTCGTCTATGAGAATCTGTCCTCCATGCGAAAGTTCAAGACGATTGTATGCATGGTTGCCGAATAATTAATTATTAAAGTTATACTATTGCACATGGCCAACATAGCAAAAGTATTACGATATCTGTAATTCAATTCTCGAAAGCATGTTAAAAATGATAAGAATTTTTTAAAAATAAGTGCAAATAATTCTGTACATATTTACGAAGAATTTTGAATACAGAAATGACTTGTCTACGTTGTATATATTTTTTTCTTGATAACTAAGTAGACAAGTCAAATATCGTATTCGTCAAAATTCTTCGTAAATATGTATAAAATTATTTGCACTTATTTTTATAAAATTCTTATCATTTTTAACATATATGTATATAAGCTCTGTACTAGTACTAGTACATTTTATTGATTCCCCTTAGGGTTACAAGGCGTTTTTGAAGGAACGTGCCCAAACCTCTTATAACACCTCTCTCTATATCCACTTCGCTATGTGGCGATCGAACGAAAAACCAACAACGTTTTTGTTTGGTTTTGAACCCGGATCTTTGGATTACCAGACCAGCGCACAATCCTCTGCGCCACGATCGCCACCATATATATGTATATAATATATATTTTATTATATATATATATTTATATATGTATATATTATCATTTTAATATATATATTTTTAATATAAATTTAAATTCATTTTTATCATTTTTATTTGAGCAACCAACCTCCTTAAGTTATATCTTTGAATGTAATGACATGGATGCTCTTTCTCCATGAGAGTCCAAGAATTAATATTACATTGGCCTAGTTTACATCGTGCATTTGATACGCGTATCAAATAGTGTATATGAACTGATCAGCCAATGACTAAACCAATTCACTAGTTATTTACTATTTCTTACTATTTAATACGCGTATCAAGTGCACGATGTAAACTAGGCCATTGATAGACAGAGGCTGCTAGTATCTACTGTAATATTTGGCACCTCCTCAAAGTAAAATATGAAATAAATATATCTGTCGATAGAAATCTGTTTTGGCATATTTTTAAGTACTGGTAACACCTTTACGAGCTACTAAAAGGTTTAATACTGGATGCTTTCTTATATAAGAAACCGCCTTCTTGTGAGTTACCATCGTAAAGTCATATCCGTTGCATTGTAAAATTTTATCATGCGTTCTAAGACCACTTTTCGCCGCTGGCGACTTGTCGTGCACTTCCGTTACGTATATCCCCTGGAAGAGAAATTCACGTCTATGAGTATTTCCACGTTATCTGAAAATTGCGGAAGAGAATTGTACGTTTTCAAGCCTAACGCGATATCTTACATTGTCCGTGTAGCCTTGTGGACTCTTTGTATAATCCTGATCGATGCCACCGCCGATTTTAAATCCACATTTCATCACTTCCTCGCCGTTTTCATTGAGCTCCGTCTCTTTGTGTAATGTAATTGGTATCTGTGGCAAATTAACAAATGTACACACAATGCAACAGTAACTTTTTGTTTGCAGTACTACATTCCTCTGAGAGCACAGATTCTCAAGGGGACAATCTTTAAACCGAAACTGATCGAGTTCTATTTATAGATTCTTGTTATTCTGGTGTGTACATACCCTTCACTACTGTGAATATTTGTTACTAACATAAACGTACCGGTACATCGATTATTCAAGTTATATGCCCATTAATTTATTTATCAATCTTGTATAAATATTATCTTAACGAAAACATAGAACGTGCTGTCGAGAAGAAAAAAGAATTGAAAGACAACCCGCAATGTTTCTCCCAGTAGCGAAGGGCGTGTATCGTGGGCACCAGCTACATGACAGATGCGGAAGATACCCACGCTCAGGCACTCCATCGCGGTACCCGGCTGATGCTGAAAGGCCATTTTCGCGCACATAATCAAGCGACTCGGGCTCTGCCACGCGCCCTTTCCTTTTTCAACAAATTCCCTCGGTGACTCACGCACGGCCGACTCACAATCGCCGCCAATAACCGATTCTCCGCACGTACGTCGGCGACGTGCGCTGCGCGAGACAAACGTGCGAGAGACTCAACTCCCCGGTGACGAACGTCGGAGACCAGCGAGACCTACTTGTCAGTCCCGGATCGGAAGCGCGCGTAGAACAGATGATCGCGGAGCAAGCTTGCGCCCGATTTTGTTTTATTCGGTTACTCCGACTGGCTGGAAAAACGGAGGCGCCTTCGATCCCGCGCCAGAGAGAAACCTGAGAGCGGCCACGCCGGCGTTTAACTTGTTACCGTTTCGCTAGGCTGTTTCCAGCGCTTTACGCCCACTTTTATTTTTCGAACTACTCCGCTACGCCCATTTTCGAGCACTGTCGATAAAGTCTCCAGATAATACTGAAGGGGAGTCTCTCACTCTCCGTTTTTTTTTTCCATGCAAATTCACAGGGTCGTGTATTTTTGCCTGTAAAACGCGAATCCGCAAATTAAATATTAGTGTATATAGAAATACGTATATACGTTTATTTAACGTTGGAATTAAATAATATTTACACAGAAATAAAAAATAAAACTCAATTTTATTACAGATTTTAACGCGTACGAATAAAAAAATTTTTTTGCCTGTTCTTTATAAGTACGCGTTAAAATCTGTAATAAAATTGAGTTTTATTTTTATTTCTGTGTAAATATTATTTAATTCCAACGTTAAATAAACGTATATACGTATTTCTATAAATAAAGGTCGATTTGGATACTTAAATAATTTTCACCGCTCAGATCGGTCGAACTGACCACTGTGCGTCGCCGCGAGTGTGCGTGACTTTTATGGAATTGTATATTCGTCGAATAAAGAGTATCCTGCAAAACGAATAGAGCACGATGTCTCCTTAATTCTCTGACGAATCCATCATTCGTTCCGCATTTCATTTGACATAATTTATCTTTGTTTCTATAAGAAATCAATTTTTAGGTTATGATCAACTGTCATCACTTTTTCTTGGAATAATGCAAGTAAAAGCGATAAATTCTTAAATGTGAAATTGTTTACGTATTTAATAAAGTACCTTTCACGCGCGAAAAAAAGAAATGAGTATTTTTTTATGGAAAAGAGAGTTTCGGTCAATACTCGGTAGCGAGAGGAGGTTAAAATATTTTGTGATAATTCAAGAATCTCAATTTGTTAAGAATCTTTCCTGACTGGAAAGCAGGAAGTACAGGGCAAACGTAAAATGGTTCGAGAGAAAAGAAAAAGGTGATAAAGATTTTGTGTTTAAATAGGAACAGTCGGTGAAGGAGCACGGGACTGTTCGAGGAATACACTGCCAGATTTCGGGAACAAGAGGATGCTGAAGCACAATATCGTAAAGACGTCGTGGTGCAAATTGCGCACGCGGTATATGCACAAAAATGCCTCTCTCCTGGAAGCATCCAAAACTAAGGAGTGTGCAATCGCCAGGATACGTAACATCGGTATACTGGCACATATTGACGCTGGTTAGTATCGCTCTAATCAATTTCAAATAAACAATATACGAAAGACTGTTATATCCGCCTGGCTCTTATGCCCTTGCCTTACGTCTATTAATAAACGTTTTGTATATAGAGCCTTAAAAATTATTGATCGTAAACTCACGTAAGTTATGCAATTTTTTTGTATACTGCCGGACAGTAGGAAGGTTGAATTATTGCCCTGGGGTGGTACTTCTTGCAATAAGTCCCTTGCAGTGATTCTCTCTAAAGATGCATCGTTAGCATCGTTAACATAAAATTATTGTACTGTTCTTAGCTTCAGCTCGTGATTGCGTTTCAAAATCGACATTACTTGGTGTAGTTTGCAGAGGAATGTATTCACGCAAAAGTATTACGAAGATTCCGATCGTGTGAAACACGTCTCTATACAAGTATTTTTTTTCTTCAGGAAAAACAACCACGACCGAGAGGATGTTGTACTACTCGGGTCTCATCAGAAATATGGGAGAGGTTCATCATGGCAACACAGTGACCGATTACATGGAGCAGGAGCGTCAGCGCGGGATAACGATCACCTCGGCCGCAGTCACGTTCAACTGGAAAGACTATCGCTTCAACTTAATAGACACCCCCGGTCATATTGACTTCACTATGGAGGTCGAACAAACTTTGCAGATATTAGACGGCGCGATTGTAGTCCTGGACGGTTCCGCCGGCGTGGAGGCCCAGACGTTGACGGTTTCCAGACAGGCGGACAGATACGACATCCCCCGGATATTCTACGTTAACAAAATGGACAGGGCGGACGCTGACTTCGATATGAGTTTACGGTCTATCGAATCGAAATTAAACGTCGAAACTTTACCTGTACAGGTTCCAGTGACGAAGGCAGGAGTCCTGGAAGGCATTGTAGATGTAATAACGATGGAAAAGTTGACGTTCGATAAAAGACACCAGGGTATGAATTTAACGCGAGCGAAAATAACCGAGGGCGACGACGGGAGACTGTGGGACGTCGCCAGCGAGAAGCGACGACTGCTGACCGACAAACTGTCGGGCTTGGACGACAAACTGGCGGACGTCGTTATAGAGCAAGAGTCTCTGGATGACGTGCAACCACAAATGCTGGTCGATTCCTTGCGTAGAGTCACCGTAGGCAGAAAAGGTGTACCCGTAATGCTGGGAAGTTCTTACAAGAACATCGGGGTGCAGCCTTTAATGGACAGCGTCGTTCTCTATCTGCCGTCGCCGGATAGTACAGACCGGCTGAATCCGTATAGACATTTCGGAAACAGTATGGCGGCCAGAGTGTTCAAGATAGTTCACGACAAGCAGAAGGGGCCAATTACGTTTTTCAGGATCTATTCCGGCAGCATGAAGAAGAGCCAGAAGTTGTACAACGTGACGCGCGAGCAGAGCGAGCAGTGCACTCGCCTGTACGTTGCTTGCGCGGACGACTATGAGGAGGTGGCCGAAGTGAGTCACGGCAATATCGCGGCTGTGAGCGGATTGAAGAACACCGTCACGGGCGACCTGGTGACGACGAGCGCGTCCGTAGCTGACCGCGCCAAACAGTCTATGCTGAAGGACAGTCAGAGTCGGCTGGACTACGTGGACAACTTCTTCGCGTCCGGAGTGAGCCTGCTCGATCCAGTTTTCTTCTGCTCCGTGGAACCACCCTCCCTTTTGGCGCAGTCCGCTCTGGAGACCGCTCTTCAGGAGCTGCAGAGGGAAGATCCTAGCTTGCGCGTGAAGAACGATCCTGAGACGGAACAGATCGTTCTTGGCGGGATGGGAGAACTGCACATAGATATCATCAAGCAAAGAATCAGGACCGAGTACAAGATCGACGTGGACCTGGGCCCGCTGCAAATCGCTTACAGGGAAACGATTCAGGACGCCGTTAAAGATACGCTGTCTGTGGAGCACAGAGTGGGCCAAACGACGCACAAAGTCACCATCACTATGTCCTTGATACCCAATTACGAGGGAAAGACGAATCTGCTCCTGGACAAGACTCCGGAGAATGCTTCGAATATCGCCGGTATTCATCCGCGGGTGATGAGCGCAATTAAAACCGGCGTGAGCACCGCGTTGTTGCATGGTGTGAAATTAAGTTGTCCGGTGATTAATGTCGGCGTCAAGCTTCACTGGCTGGAGGTGGCACGCGCTACTTCGGACACTATTATTTCCGCTGCTACCTCGCAGTGCATTCGAAAGGTAGGTACGTATCCATCTTGAATAAATAAATTTTGTAATTAGAACTGGGAACCATCTCTCCCGATTTCAACATCTCTTAGGGTGTTCTTTATACCTCATTGAAATTAGGTGTGATCCCTATTTCTAAATAATTACCCTAAATTCTATTCGTTACGATAGTATTTAAGACAATTCTGATTATTGCGAATTCATTGTATTCATTTATATAAAAATGGATATTATCTTTGCCCGTTTACTACAATAAATCGATTTCAAAGTTTCATAGCATGTTCAAATAACGTATGTTTCGTATGTACAGTTACTCCAGGATGGAAATAGTATGTTACTAGAACCCATGATGCAACTGGAAATCGTTGCGCCCGAAGAATATTCACCTAGTATCAATGCCGATCTTACTCGTAGACGAGTGACAAAGCAAGAGATTCATATGCGTGGCAATAATAAGGTGAATAAATTGTGTTCTCTCATTTGTAATAAATTGTAACTATTTTATTATTTGAATTGTTACGAGTAAATTCACGTTTTATTTCGCAGGTGATCAGAACTGTCGCGCCCTTGTCAGAATTATTAGGATATTCAACGACACTGAGAATCATCACGTCAGGCAACGCGACGTTCTCTTTGGAATTCAGTCACTATCAAGTAATGACCCCCGTCGACGAGGAGGAAGCTATCGAAAAAATTAAAGGATTCTAAAATGTATAATATTGCCTAAAGTATAATTTTACTTTGTTTTATTGACTCAATCTAATCAAAATATATTGCAACATTATCATTGGTGCGTTACAATCTCCATATACAATTCTCAATAGCGACCACCAAGTACGGTACAAGAGGCTCTTGCCGGAGCCGGAGCAGAAAAAATTGCTAGTGGGCTATCAGAAAATGTTACAGCCTCCATGCATCATAGCCGGCAGTCGCGCATAAATATATTAATATTGCTTAAGATCATGCAAAAATGTCACGTCGTAAAATATATATATATATGTGTATATATATTATATTGTATGGAGGGATTAAATGTTATAATGTCGCGTGAGACTGAAAAAAACGACAGCCGCGTATAAAAATCTACGCCGATGCGGATACACGGAAGCGAGATTTTTTTTTAACATCGCAGAGAAAAATGGAGAAAATTTGGAAATTCTCGCATTCGTGTAATTTTATTTATCCGCCTATATTTAATATTATAATACTAAATATTTGATACTATAATAGTTACTATTATATTAACATATTTAATAGAATAATATTAAATATACATTTAAATTATGCAAAATGTTGATTAATCTTAAGCGCAATTTAAAGAACTTTTAAGACTTAACGTACTTAGAAGTTTGAGCTTAATCTTGTTTTGTCTTACATTTTTTTTTACAGTATAGAATTATAGTATAAAATTTCACTTGTCTCATTTGAATCGCTTACAAAATGACAAATCTTACATTCATTATTCCTAATTCGTTATTTTAAACGTTAAATATACTTTTATCACTTGTGTGCAGACATTATTGCTCATATCTGTGACAATTTCCTTTAAGGCGCAAACAGATGTCACGTTTTCTTTTCAAATACAGCTCTTTTTCTCGTACAGTTTACATTTGTAAGAACACTTATTTTGTCGTATTATATGTACAAAGTTACAATTGAAGATTTCAAATTGCCAAATATTCACCTACGAATAGGGAAATACTGGGAATAAAAACATGTATTCGCCGACCATCAAGGTCTAAATACAACCAATCTTTTCTACGGCACATGTGGAGATTTGGAAAAAGTGAACCTTTGTAGAGAAAAAGCGCCGGCTGTTAACAAGTCGCACGAAAGAGCTTTTAAGAACGATTTCGTTGTAAAAGAGCACGCGCATAATACTTCTGCTCCCCCTTGTAGAAATTCTTCGCGTCATGGTACTCCCGTTCTCATTCGGGATCGTTCTCCTCGTTGGACCCGTGCTCCGCCATATCGTGGCGTCACAAGCTCACGAGCTTCGGGGGATTCGCATCCGGGGAGCTGAGATCCACGGCGGACAGATTGTTCCTCTGCTGCGTCGAGCACGACGGTATCAGGGGCGTCGAGACTGGCGTGAGGCCGGTGCCGCCCTCCATTAGAGAATCAAAATTGAACGGTATGCCGCTGGTCGGGGTGGTGATCGGCATACCGGCCACGTCCATCGACGGCTTCATGAAGGACGGCGTCTCCACCGTCTTGAAGGCGAGCGTGTCCGGTCTCTCCTTCGGCTCCGCGAACATCGTCAGGGGATTCAGTCTGTTATTGTTGTCCAATCCAACCGGCAATGAATTGGGTCTGTTCGGTCTCGTTGCCGCAGCCACCGTCGTGTCGCCCTTCGCGACTTCGGCAGCGAATTGATCCTCCACCATGTGATCGGTGGTTTTGATCACGGGTTTTATATCCAGCGGAGACGAGGAGCGTAGCGAACGGCGACAGACCGCTCTGTGGGTGTCCAAGATAAATTCCAGTTCCTCTTTCACCTGCTTCAGCTGCTCGATCTCTTCCTGCAGGCTCTGCTTCTTCTTTTCCAAGCCATCGGTTTCCTGCAGAAAAAGATGTGTCGTATAGCGACGTATTCTTTTCTTTCCGATGACGCGGTGACTTTTCAAACGTCTATTTGAAGCTGTCACCTCTACGAACGAGACTGAGATTCGTTAAACGCAATTATAATGTATAACGCTATTGATATTCCAATTAATCACGCAACACTGTATCCAATTAAACAATATCACAGTTAATAAATATACGAGTCAAAGAAAATAAGATGAGTTCGCTAAAACAATAATATTTACCTTGGAATAAACACAATGTAATCGCATATTAAATCTTGTAAAAATACACGAGGCGAACGTTTCGAACCCTTTTAGGTTCATCTTCAGCGCAATGATAGAAAGGTCTAACAAGAGATAATAAACATTACATGAGTTTAAATAATTGAAGTTAAAAGTACGTAAAATCGAGCTAAAGTTATACATTTCAAAACGGAGATTAGTCCGATTAGCGATTTATCCAACGCGGAGAGTTACGAGATAAGAATTAGCGATGTAAAGTGGCGGTAGAGAAAGGTGTTGTTGCTCCGGCATCTTGAGAATTGTAGAGCGATTGGAATACCGGTGTGCAATTGCGCCGAGTTACGTTGACTCAAGATTCTAAAATGAAGCGTCGACTTGAAAACGAAATTTCGTGTTAAATTCCTCGCGAGAAAGAGAGACGAGAAATGTCTGAGAGCCGAGATGTGAAAATCGTTCAATTCAAATCAGATGCGAAATTGTATGCTATTCAGTTGAGAGCCGAGATTGAAATAACAATAATTCGTCTACGTACGTCGAGTAGGGCGTTGGTGTGATCCATTCTTCGCTTGCGGCATCTCGCAGCTGCCATCTTGTTCCTCTCACGCCGGATCTGTCGCCTTTCCTCCTCCTCGGGGGTCATCCCGATTGTTCTGGTGGGTCGTCTGCCGCCCATATTGCGTCTAACTGGCTGCTGCTGCTGCTGATGTTGCTGCGGCTGCGTCTGCTGCTGGGTAGTCTCGATAAGGGTGGTCGTCGGCGCCGGCAGATGTATCGCCGTTGTGTTTTGCGTCTGTGCCGGGGTCGGTTGCGACGGCTCGACCAGCGGCGGCACGAAGCCGGCCTCGCGGCTGTGCGACGCCGACTCGCTGGTCAGCTCCAGGAACGTCTGCTCGATGCTGCGGAGGGTGGTCGGCGTCAGCGTCGGCGTCGTCCTCGTCGGCACTCCGCTGTGCAATCCGTCCAGAGACACCAGCTGCAACGCAAAGACGACCGATCGGTTGAGAGCGCGTCCACGGAATCACTTTTCATACACGCTTATCCGTACAATTGTTAAATGAGGAACGGTGGATTTTACATCCAAGTCTCGGTGGCGGGATTAGTGAACAATTGTACGGGTATCGATAAAGATTAACCGCCCTCTTTCTCTCTGCAGATGTGACTTGGCGGTGTAAAACGACGACGCGTTCCCTCGCGAGAAGCAAACCGCTGCCTAACGTAGGCGCATCCACGGAATCACTTTTCAACACGTATCTCCTCACAATTGTAAATAAGAAACAGTGGAGTCTGATTTTATATCGAAGATGAACAAATTGTACGGGTATCAATAAAGATTAATTAACTGCGTTCTTTCCGTCGTTTCTGGGTCTCGTCTGGAGACGCAGAGGATGACTTGCAGGTGTAAAATTTTCTACGACGCTTTCCTTCGCGGGAAAGAAACCGCCGCCAACGTAGGCGCGTCCACGGAATCACTTTTCAACACGTTTATCGTCGCAATTGTAAATGAGAAACAGTGGTGTCTGATTTTATATCAAAGGCGAACAATTGTACGAGTATCGATAAAGATTAACTGCGTTCTTTCCGTCGTTTCTGGGTCTCGTCTGGAGACGCAGAGGATGGACTTGGCGGTGTAAAATTCTCTACAACGGCGCGTTCCTTCGCGGGAAAGAAACTGCTGCTAACGTAGGCGCGGTATCGCGTTATCTTCGACTTTCCAGGCGCGATATCAGTCAGGTAATCTCGCCGAGATGGCTCGATAAAAATATCCATGATCCAATAGCCGATAACGTGTCGTCGCGCCTCGCCAGATAGATAGATCCGTTCGGAGTTGCGATTATTTCGCGCCTCGTTACTGAAATTACGACGGTCTTCGCGCCTTGCGATTTAATTCGCGAAAATATCCGCGCGTCTCTCCCTCGCGCGCCGCTCTTCCCGGCGGCAATTTACGAACGCCGCGCCTGCGCGGCCGCGCACGTGCGTTCTAACGTTGCGCAATACTGTAATTCGCGTCGAATTAAAAACGTCGTTTCCATGCGGTGGCGGTGACGGCGGCGGGACGATAAAAAAGATTCGCGGTCACTCGAACGCGATTTCACCGAGAGCGGGAGAAAGACAGAGCGAGCAAGAGAGAGAAAGAGATAGAGAGAGGAGGGGGGAGACGGACTTTACGAGCCCGTCGTTCTCCCTAACTACGACGGTATTAACGAGCACCTCGAATCGCAGCTCACGTAGCGACAACCTCGCGCGCCATTATCGCGCCGCCAATCGCCGGTCGTCGGGGACGTAATCTATACGCGCTGCGCGTTTCCCAGAAAACACAAAAGGACGCGGGAAGGAAAAAGAGAAGCCCCGCGGCGTCCTTCGCTCTCTCGCGCGCGGGAGAGAAGACGTGCCGCGCGCGGCTCGCTATCATTTCTAAAATTACGAACCGCCATCCTCCCGTTTAACGAAGGCCGCCGCAGTCTTCGCCTCGCGACGAGGAGCGTCGAATCGCCGCGTTAAAGGAGCACGCGAGATCGAAATTCGTGACGACACGTCCGCAATGAAAGGCACTCGAGTCCGCGATACGCCCAATGTGCCGCTCTTTCGTTTTCAGAGATTTTATCTTCATTTAGGAGAAAAGCGGTTGCACGAATTCGTCTGTTCAACGTATTTCGCTCAAGTTTTAGTACGTGGGGATTTTTTAAGGTTGCAAATTGCAGATCTCGGGTCAAAATTTTGAGAGTCAAAGTGGCGGATTCAATACAGTAGCCAAGTTAAAAAAAAAACGCTTTTTAGCAATATTACACCTCGATATGACTTCCGAGTTTCGACTGCATTTCACCGTCCCCCTCTTTTGCTACTTTAACGAGTCCTACGAGGATCCTAAAGTCATCTTTTTTACCGACACATTCGAATACAGTTTTTACGCTTGTAAATCTTTTTATTGGATTTTATGTGCAAAATAATACTAGGATACATTGCGGGCAGCGTAGCAGAACATTTTCATACTTAAAGCACTTGTTAGTTTAGGAGTCTAATAAAAAAGGAATTGGTATTTGAAATTTTCAATTTTTTATTCATGAGCAATTTGAAATTGGCTTCATAAAATTGCAAAATTCTTCCACACGATTAAAATACACGACTTTATGTAAAAAGAAACAAATAGAAATTAAAAATATCACTTTATAAGTAACTGTGGTTAGATTAGCTGACAGCTTCACGCGGTGATATTTTTTATTTCTCTTCGTTTTTTTATATAAAGTGAACACACCCCGGCTTTGTTTTTATGCGCACTTTAATCGTGTGGAAAAATTTTGCAATTTTATAAAGCCAATTTCAAATTGTTCACAAATAAAAAATTGAAAATTTCAAATACCGATCTCTCCGAGTGTTTTAAGTATAAAAATGTTCCGCTATGCGGCCCGCAACTTGTCCTGGTATTATTTTGTGCATAAAAACCAATAAAAAGATTTACAAGCGTAAAAACTATACCCGAATGTGTCGGCAAAACAGATGATTTTAGGATCCTCTTAACCGAATGTAATTAAAGAACGCGGTATTATTGTAGGTAAACCTCGCGGAACGTCAGATTTTCTTAAATCTTTCCCAGTTGTTCTCCACGTCGAGATATGAAAAAGACCTGTCATTAGCTTCAATTAATTAGTTGTTTAATTTTTCTCAATTTAGTGCCGATGCCACAGGAAACAACACCGACAATTTCTCAGGCAACTCTTATTCCGATATAAACTTTCACAACCACGTTTTTCAACGCAACGCGTAATAACCATGTTAAAGAAATATTTTGCATCCACATATATACATATATGTGTTATCGATTGATGCATCTCCTCCGACGAGATCACGCTGCGAGATGAGGGAAAATACCGTAGACAGGCGCTTTAAGTGTCATCGCTAAAATTACTTAGCGCGGCTCGGAACGGCTTCGCCGATTTCGGCCGTCGTCGTTTGGCCACCCACCGACCAGCTTCTCTCACCCATCGCGGGGAACCTCAGGAATGTCCGGAGCGTTAAACTTAGGCGTTACCGAATCGTGTCCGTACGCGTAGCGGCGTCACGGTCACTGGAATTCCGATCCTGCGCGAGAAAGTGCCCGAAGGTAATCCTGGAAATTATAGAAATCGCCCTGGGCGATCGGCCGATCGATCGAAATCGTAGTGCCCGATCTCTCCAGTGTCTCTATCTGTACCGCGGTGTCGCTCGTGTGCCATTATTTATTAGATCATTAGCGCGCCTCGAGACGATATCGCGTGCCACCAAGTAGAATGTAACGACTCAAAAAAAACTTTTAAGACTGTAAGGCAAAACAAAAAGTGGAAATTGCAAATCTTATGCGATTATGGCGTAATATCGTCCTTCTTATGCCAGAAAAACACGAACGTACGACTTCTCGCATTTTGAATAAAGAAATGAGTCTTGTTCTTAATTGCACGCCAAAACGATGAATAATAGCGTAACGTCACGCAAGATCGATAGGTCCGGCATCGAAGGACAATCGTACCTTTTAACGTCAACGTCGCAACGGTGGGACAATAGTGCATTAACAGAATTCAGAGATCATCTGGTTTTTCTACCTGGAATTAAGTTAGTGGAAGAGAAGTTTGCAGAAATAGAAAGAGATTGAGGCGCGGTTTCACTACACGTCGCTTAGCTTTAATCTTAATTTAATTCATGTTTGTCTCTTTCTAAAGCAACAGTTGGAAGAGACAAAGAACGAAGTAAACTAGGCTGAAAGTTAAGCGACGTTTGGTGAAACCGGGCCTAAGAGATTATCGTAGCGTGGTGAAAGTAGCTACAACTCCAGAAAATTTTCAAAATTTGAGTTCCGGATTTTGCGTTCAACTGCGATCTTCGAATCGTGCGTTCGTGGCACAAGGAGGACGATATGTTGTCCGTTAATTGTAATTTATACGCTTATGGAACGCGCCATTTTTTACAGGACGACCTTTGCTCGGTTCTACGACTGATAAAGATGCAGTATTGCACGAGTAGTCTTGTAGCACCTAAAGATTTTCACTTATAATTTATGTTCACATTGCTCGACATTGCAAATCGTCGAAGGTATTGTCCTGGCAAAGCATCTTGGCAATCGAACTCGCAAGTTTCTTTTTTTTCATTAATTAATCAAGATTTTTAGGCCGCGATCAATTGTCTCGATCTCCGCGGGTCACGATCTTAATTTATCGCTGCAACTTTCGGCGCGGGCACCTTACGATTCGACTTTGGAGAATTTACGATCATCAAATAATATGCGCAAAGCAGGCGGCAATGAGAGCCAAACGCTAGATATTAGGTGCGGATATAACAAATTCTATATTATTTATTTCAAATTAACTAAATTGACTAAGTGAGCGTCTGGCTCTTAATGCCCCCTACTTTGCGCATATTATTTGATGTTTTATACATAGAGCCTTAAAATTTGTTGTTATATTATGGATTATAATCGTAATGACGTAAAGACGAGTTATCGCCGGAAGATGAATTTTCGAGTCTTCGAGAGCGAATCCGGCTTATCGGGCGCTATTTGCTTTCCGCCGAAAACGGAAACGACGGAACGTCACGCAACGAGATCGATAGGTGCGGCATCGACAGGACAATCGTAACTTTCAACGTCAACGTCGCAAACGGTGGAACAACAGTGCATTAATAGAATTCAGAGATCACCCGGGTTTTAATCTAAAATTAAATTAGTGGACGAGAAGCTTGCGAAAAAAGAAAGAGATTAATAAAGAAATATTTACGGGCGGGGAGAGATGGCTTTTTATTTACGGCTGTATCGCCGAACTGACGGCTTCCGGCCATTCTCGACGGCCTTCGGGCCGTTCACCTTACTCCGCATTGTTTGTCGCGGGATCACTCGAACATCGCTCGTTCGGACGAGTCATTATATGCGCGTGCATCATAGCGTCGACAAGTCTTCCCTCGACAAGTCCGAACGTGAATCACATTCGCACACCACGCGCGACGACGATCTCCCCCCCCCCCCCTCCTCCTTTTGGCAGCTTTGTTCGAGTGTATTTCAATACTTGAAACACATGGACGCGACGATGTACGCGTGGAAAAAATTAGTGTGGGCGCTTTTTCTTAAAATATCTAAATATAAAATGTATGACAACAACGCAGAGGTTCTTCAAGCTATAAGTAAAATGTATGGCTAAAATATAAAGTTTAGTCGTAAAATCCGAGTATTTTTCATGAATTAAGGAACGATTGAATCTCACGCGGACGATACTTTGATAAACTTTTAATTGAAGAGCCATTAAACTGGTTAAAACGGAAAGAATTACGCCTGATCCGATTCCTTCTGTGACGGAATCTGCTCCAAATTGATCGCAAATACCGCAAAGATTCGTTCTGCTAACATAGATCGAGGTACGATAACTAATATTTGACGCGGGCAAACAATGAGAAAGAAACTCATTTGTTCGCAGCAAATTTCACGCAGAATTTCGCGACCTTCTACACGAGGAATTTTCTCTTAAAATTATCCCCGAAAATCGTGCAATCGTGGCATTTTGAGGAACTTTATGAGAGCTTTTGAAAATTTTACCATGTATTTTATTAACAAAATGTATACCAAGTATAATTATTATTAAAATGTACGGTAAAATTTCAAAAGGCTCATAAAATTTTTCGAAATACCGTGCCCGACGATCGCATGATTTTCACACTAAATTTTAAGAGAAAATCGAGCACTCGTGGAACAACGTGGCATTTTGAAGAACTGTACGAGAGCTTTTGGAAATTTTGCTATACATTTTGCCAGTGAAATGTATGATAAAATTTAAAAAAAAACTTATAAAACTCCTGGAAATGCCATGTCCGACGATCACAAGATTTTCAGGCCAAATTTTAAGAGAAAATCGTGCACTCGTGGGACAACGTGGCGTTTTAAAGAATTTTACTGGTAAAATGTATAATAAAAATTCAAAAAAAAATTCATAAAATTCTTCAAAATGCCATGCTGCCCCACATAATTTTCAGCTAAATTTTAAGAAAAAAAAAATTCTCCGTGTATCCATTCGCGTTTCAACGGAATTTCCTCCTCCGAGATGGAGCAAAAACAAGCGCGCGCGACGTCGCGTTTTTTTTCACAAAGCCGACGGCTGTTGGCATGCACACGCGTCTTCCGTTTCGCGATGCGGTTGCTCGCTCGCACGCTCGCTCTCCACACATGTGAGCACACGTGCGACGACGCGACGACGACGTGCGTGCATACACGCACGCACGCACACGTATGCCAGACACGTACGGCGCGCGCGCGGTCCACGATTCTATAAATAAATATACATATTCGCTTCTCTCTCTCTCTCTCTCTCTCTCTAATCTGCCCTGAGCGCGTGTGGCGAATCTACGAACAAAGGGCGATATCAGCCAGCAGAGATCATTGCGAAACGCATGTTCAGATAACAACCGCGGCTGTTCCCGTCCGATTCGCTCCGAAATGCGGCGAGAAGCGCGCATCAAAAGCGAGGAAACTAGTCGCGACGCGATCGCAACCCGTCAAATCGCGTTGCACTGCCGCTCGTGTAATTCTACACCAGGGAAAATAGATCCTAGAACACCGCTGCCAGAGCGAGGACGATAGACTAATTACGCGATCGAACCTAGAAAGCACGCTCGTGACCGCTCGCCGTGTTATCGCGGCCGAGATACCGCGCGCTCATACGGCAAGCACGAGATATAAATCAATCGAGACGCGATGCACAGGCAACTGCTCCTATCGGAATACAAATTTCGGTAGTGGATGTGTTCGTTGCATATATTGTGTGTTAAAAATTCGGATACGAGGTAACAAAGGAGTGAGAGCCAAGACAGGATGTCAGTGTCTAAATCATTTTAATTTCAAGTTTATTTCGAAAGATAACACCTCACCCTGGCTGATTTAAATTATTTGGACACATCCTGTCTTCGCTCTTACTCCTTTATTACTTCGTATTTGTGTATTCGTATTAGAGGCTTACGAATTTTATTAGTTGTTAAAAGTTCAGTACACGTTAAAACCGAGGGAGAAACCGCTGACCAAAATCTTGTACACCAATGCCCACTAATGCCCAGCGGGCATTACTTTAACTTATTATCTTAGTTTATCTTTATAATGCCCCAGCAAACCCTAATGCCCAAACTAATGTCCCAAAAAGGCCTAGTAAAGCCACAAATCTGTACACCACAATGCCCTCAGCGATTTCCCCCTCGGGTTTACCCCTCGGTTAAAATGTATCCTGCACTCAAAAAAAAAGACTGGCTTAAGTTAAATAAATGAGAAATACGCTGTAATCATGTTTCTTTGAGTCTACTACATTTTTGTTTATTTCTACTAAAACACCTGCTAGATTTGAAGAAATAGATATAAATTCTCTTAAAGATTGCAGTCTCAATCGGATAAAATTGTGGTTAAAAGAGGCAAGGAGATTATTTCCTAAGAGTCTAGTAAGATCAAAGTTCGAAGAAAATTTGTTCGATTTCAAGAAACTTTTTTTCTGGGCGTACTACACCGCTGTTGTATACAGAGTTTGTGAAAATATCAGAACTAAATCTGCTCGAATAGCCATTAGATACTACTATAATTTGCAACGATGCCAACGTCGGATTAATTGGCGATATTCGTTGGAAACGGCCTTCGCGCGCGCAGATCTTACGCTTGAAACATCTTGCAATTTTGTTAAGTCCTTGAAATATTATGTTTTCAGGTAGACTTCTGGAAGGTCCCCGTTGGAAATTATTATGTTTTGCCGTCTAAATCAATCGACGATATGAGTCGAAAGTCAAGGTGTACACGCACCGGCATAAATGCTGTCCCTATCCTTGTGAGGTGCGCGCACGCAACTACAGGGACTCTAGTTGTGTGCGTGCACCTCACAAGGGACAGCATTTATGCCGGTGCGTGTACAACGATATTTCTAATTCCAAATATTTTTCCAAGTGCAGATATTGGACATTTTCTCCTCACACAAAAAGTACAGAGATTATAGATCGACAGTACGACATAGGTTTTCACTTTTCCAGATCAGATCGTGCACCCAGAAAAAAAAGATTTATTCGAGTAAAATGAATGAGACGTCGAAATCGTGTAGATTCTTCGAATCTACTCAATTTTTATTTACTTCTACTAATCTATCAGACCTGAAGTAAAAGATACGAATTCTCTTGGAGATTCCAGCCGTAATCGAGTAAAATGTTGGCCGAGGCAAAGAAATCGTTTCTTTGGAACGAAATAAAAGTCTGGCGAGGTATAAACATTCAAAGAAAATTTGTTTGATTTCGAAGAAACTTTCTGCCGGGCGTGGACGTCGGGCTGATCCCGAAGCAAGGTCCGAACGTATTTTTGCCACAGAACTGACAATAAATCACAGATTAGACTCGATGCATGTTTCATGACGATATCCATGCCAGGCTTATTAATCAAACGGCCGGCACAAACGATTCTCGGTAGACTTGCGATAGTTTCGCCGTGGCGGGTGGAACCTCCAACGATATTGCACAATGTTGCACAATACCCTGCTCGTTCGCATCGCAATCATCATCCCGCATAAAGCCGAACGTTCGCTCGCTCGCTCGCTCCAAGGCGAGCTTTCTCTCCTTCAAGTTCACACAGGGGATTGCGCGATTAGCTCGCGGCCTCGCTTTTCGCGATCGAACGGACCGTGACGACGGCGGGTCAGCTGATCTCTTTCGGCGAAAGCCTGGCCTACCACCGATCGGCAATTCGCGATCGCAATTAATCGGGCAACGTGAATGAAGCGCTCTCTCATCGCGCTACGAAAGCGCGCCAGCCGCCGCGTTTATTTTCAGATCAGAAACGATCGTCTCTCGAGGAATCTCCTCGCTTCTTCGCGGCCCTTCCCGAGTCGACAAAGAGCCACTTTATCCGCGCCACGCGATCACAATGAGATCGAATGTCGTCCCCATGTCAGAGTGTATCCACGTCCGTCAACGCGTACGGCACGCTTTTTTTTTCCGAACTCTCTCTCTCTCTCTCTCTCTCGCCCGTGACGTATCAGTCAGCAAATGATACTAGATAATGAGTACGCGCGGAGATTTTTTGAAGCAAAATAAATGGCTTCCCATTTGTTTATCCCAAAGGACTTGGGATAACATGGTATTATACCATACTTTTTTTTTCAAATTAATTAACAGTATCTCTTAGTTATCGGGCGAAAAGTTAAGACGCGTAAACTTGGGCTCTTCTACGAAATCAGATTCAACGTGTTAACGGTCTGATTGTCTAATGTATGTTTTGAAACGATGCGCCTCGCCGCTCGTCTTTCGGGCGTTGGCGCAACGAGTCGTCGCATCGCATTGTCCCGCGAGGATACTTTGCGCCCGGGAGACAGTCTTCGCGATTTTTACCTGCTGATACAGCAACTCCTGCGCGAGTATATTCGCAATGTCGACCGGGTCCATGGCGGTGGCTGCCATAGCTCGAGGGATCGGTTATTCGTTCAGCGTTCGTTTGTTCGTCGTCGAAAGTATGACGGTGGGCGATAATGCGGGAAGTCGAGGAAGGGAGCGGGGCGGGGGGCGAGGGGGTAATAGCGGGGTTGGGAAATAAGTAATGAAGAATAAATGATATCTCAGTCGATCGTTCGTTCGTAAAGAAGATCGTTCGGGCGTCGGTGTGCGCTTCTCGCTCCTCCTGTCTCGCTTCGCACCCCCTCCTTGTACAACCGCACCACCCTCGTGCGCTCGTTTCTTTTCACTCGTCGAGGAGTTGGTCGTCACCACTGCGTCCTCCACCGACGCCTCTTTAACACTGAGCGAGCGACGCCGACGCCGCCGCTCTCGTCGTGGCCTTACGCGACGACGAAACCCGTCCTAAAAATAACCTTCGAATTTCGAATATGTGCGTTCCGCGATGGACGCGACGAGGGGGAGAGAGAGAGAGAGAGAGAGAGAGAGAGAGAGAGGGGGAGGAGAGAAAGAGGCGAGGGATGGGGGAGAAATAACATTTTGCAGCTTTATAGTCTCACGTGCATGGACCATTGACCGCTAAAAAAATCCTCGCGCTCGCGAACGCGCAAATCGTTTCTACAAGATAATCGATCGCAATTTCGATTACATTACGGGTGGGGAGTGACAATGGCGATATAAAAATTATTTGCCAGAATTAATATGTTCAATTATAATATTAATAATTAGTTTTACGCGATCGCGACGGTTATATTCGCGTTTAGATCTGTATACGCGTTTTAACCATACACAATTGTTGTTTGACACTCGCAACGGGAATAAGTTTCGGTTATTTGTGCAATCTAAATCTATGGAAATCCCGAAAAGAAAGGAAGCCGGGGTGTCGGCGAGACGGCGACTCCGCTCCCGATCAGTGGTTTTCCCAGTACATGCGAAATTCCCTGTTACGCGACCGCTCGCTGTCTGGAGGGCCTTAATTAGTTCGAGTTCTAAGTTTAACACCTGTGTAGGACCGTTTGTCGTCGACGCCGGTACTCGCGGATTCGTCGGCTTGGACTCGAGCCAAACGACCTCCCGCCACCCCGGCAATCTCGAGCGTGTAACGCTTCAATTTCGAGATATCGGAAAGAGACGTGGATTAACGACCGACGCAACCATTCGCACATTTTTGCGCTGGCACGTACGGAAAAAAATTGGTCGTCTAAAGCCGAATCTACAATGTGCTCTGTGCGATTAAAAACGTTGTTTTGTACAAGCACATTAATACACTTAAAAAATTTGCCGATAATGCAGAATCGTACAATGTGCAATTTATCAACTTGTAGAAATTTTTTTAGTGTTGGCTACAAAATAGAATATTTCTAAACGCGACACATTGCAGATGGACTTTAAATCGGACTATCAAGTTCAAATCATTTTCAGGTTGATTAAAAAAAAACTAGAGCGATATCTTGAATATTCTCGAGGAACTTTTTATATCCTGTAAGAAATACGACCTGAAAGAAGTATAAATTTATCTTTTTAAATGTAAGAGAATATATTTTTTCCCTGCGCGCTCTTTTCCGCCGTAATTTATGCGTTGTTTTTAATATGCCGGAGAAACTGGCGGAGAAGCGAAGGCTTAAAACGGTCGCGTCATGCTGGATGGAGTTGTTTGTCTATCTCGCTGGACATTTCCAGGATGCGGCTTCCTCGTATCGCATCGTTAAGAAGCTGATGTGGCGCCACGACGATAGCTGGTTTTATTTTAGAAATATTTCAGTCCGCTGTTCCGACAACGACACACATCTTTAACGCAAAGACTGAAGCACAGCCTCGGGGAAACCAAATAAGCGTAATTATTTATTTGGATATAATTGAACTGCCTTTCTCTCTTTTCTCCCACAGTTGAAAAATTTGTGTTAAATTTAACAGGTAACACATGTCACGAACGGTCCACACAAAGTTCTCTGTTAATTTAACATAATATGGACGCGTTAAATGATCACACTAATACTCTGTTAATATTTTAACACAAAATCAATGCAAATCTCAAAATAACTTGAAATAAATTTTGTGTAAAATCAACATTTTATTCTGTAAATTTGAACAGATAGATCTTGTTACTAATAATACAGAACATATGTGTTGTGTAAGATTAAAAAATAAGCACACATTGCGTTGTTTTAACATTTCTTTTGTCATTTTAATAATTTTATATTTGAGGTCAATTAACACATGAATGTGTTGAACGTTTAACACAAAAGTTTTAACCGGCATTTTTAACAAAAAAAAACACAAATTTTTCAACTTTGCTGTCAAGAACATAAATTGAAAAAGTTAAGCTCAGATAAGAAATTAATAATTTATTATTACGCAATGAACTACGAAAGTTAATATGTCGATACCGCGAAGTAAATTAGAATCCCCGTTCGCATTTCTCTTATCAGAAAGTCACGTATCAAGTTCAAACCTGTTCGCTTTTGTCTCATTCGTAAGGGAAGGTCTTCTCTATGAGCACGGTATGGACATTTAAAACCAGGCTTATCTCGCCGTGATATGAAAACACGTGGCAGCCAGGTGATATGATAAACAATCCACGTGTTTGACCAGCCGAGCCTGTCGCAGGTTTCGCCAACACCAAACACGCATTGCTGCAACGACCATTGTGCGTGAAAAAATTACCGTACCGGCGACGTTAACTAGAAAAATTTAACGAGGCGTGTACCAGTAAATATCCCGCAGCATTCAGAAGTTTTCAGGCGAAACGAGGAGAGAAAACGAGCTTTCAACACTTGTTTTTCCACGACTCTTAGGCCCGTTTCTTCATTTTCTGGTTAAATGTTAACCAGAGGTTGGTCGATTATCTGTCTCTTCTTAGATAATAATAAAAAAAAAGATAGGGAGTCGACTGACCTCTCGTTTAACAGAAGGTTAACTTGGGTTTTTCATTTTCTGGGCAACTGTTAAACGAGAGGTCAGTCGACTCTTCATCTTTTTTTATATTATTATCTAAGAGACAGATAATCGATTAACCTCCGGTTAACATTTAACCAGAAAATGAAGAACCGGGCCTTAGTTCAATACGTTCCACTCTCGTGAAAATAAAAATTTTACTTATATTGTCGCGTTTTAATTCCATATTATTTCTCTCACTTTCGAATAGCTCGTCTCGTTTCCCTCCGTCATCTGAAATCGTTGAGGCACCGTGATATGTTTTAATAACGAACAAAGGTTGGAATTATTCCAGGCGTAAACCAGTCACCGGATCACTTTTGATCGAATCACGTTCGTGACCGAAGATTACATTTATTTTTATGTAATGCGACGCGCGATTACGCAACGGACAGTAAACGAGCCGATCGAGCGCATTGTATTTACTTGTGCGCCTAGCGCACCATTCTCTCTTTCCTTCTCTCTTCTCGCTGCCCTTCGCACACGTGGATAATTATGCCGCTGGAATATTACGCGTAAATAATAGCGCAGCTACGTCAGAGTAGCGTGTTCCGTGCGATCGCCGGAAAAAGCGCGGCTGAAAGCCGCAACCGCCGCGGCCGCAAGAGCGCAACCTTGGATAACAAAGAAACCTCTATCTTCGCTTCCATTTTTGCTGTTTTTAACGCTTCCGCCCGCGAGACCCGATGCCTTCTTAATACCCGATTTCGCAACTCGTCCGCAAACTCTCAATGGGAACAATGGCAGCCGACAAACGGAGCATAAATACGTCATTTTACATTTTACCTCGTCGCGTTACGTACGTACTTTCAATTCACCTCGCGTAAAGATGTTTTCTTAGTACCGGGGGTATCGTGTAATACCCGCGAATTCATTAAACCGTCCGTAGTAATCGATAGAAGAAGAGCTCCAAGTTAACGAGGAACAAATCATTTCCATCGCGTGGCGTCCAGGCGCATGTGTTACATGTTTACGGCGAGTTTCCGCGAGTTGAAAGGACGGTTCTCTCTTTCCACGACGCGTACGTGTCGATGCCAGTGGTACGGCGAGAACAAAGAATGTAAACATGATAACGGGCGTGTGCGCGAATGGTGCGTCTCGAATGCATCGCGACGGCGCGGCGACGCTTATATATTGCGTGCGCGCGTAAAGTACAGCGTATGCAGATAGAGGAGTAAATTGCACTTGTTGTTGGAGGAAAATTGGCGATTTCACGCGGTACGCGACGGAAACGCAATCGAAGGAGACGCGAACGGAAAGAAGGACACGAGAGCTCCGTCGCCGTCGTTTCCGACGGCCGAGAGACCGAGAAAAGTGCGGCGTTCGAAACGAGAAGAGACGAGAGGCTGACTGCGTTATGGCGAATTCTATTGCTCGCACTAGTGCGCACTAAGGCTTGTTTACAGCCAATTCTTATATCTAAGGGTCGTATTAAATATCTTTTCAACTTTTTGAGGCCTGTGCCGACGATGCTAGAACCTGGCCCGAGTTCTAGTTCCGAGAAATCTGTAGCCAATGCACTTGCAGCTATTCCATAAAAGCTGCAAGTTGATTGGCTGCACATTTTTCGAAACTAGAACTTGGACCGAGTTCTAACATCGTGGACGCGGACCTCTAGCCAGGAAAAATTATCTGTACACCACCCGTACGGATCATTTTTCTGGCTACATAGTTTCCGAACGTGTATTCAAGTCGACCTTAAATATGAGAATCGACTATGAACGAGCGTGCACTCGGTGCGCATGAAGGCTTGTTTACAGCCAATTCTTATATTTAAATAAATTAGTATGGCTTGTATGTGTCAAACACAAATTTCAGAGAATTTAAAGGACTCAGAGCCGTGACAGGGTGGCAGTGTCTAAATATTCTACTCTAAGTTTATTGCGAAAAAATATCACCTCGGCCAGGTTATTTACTCCTCTATATCTTATATTTAAGGATCGTTTTAAACGAGGGGTAAAACCACTGAAGGCCATTAGTGGTGTACAGATTTGCGGCATTGCTAGGCATTACTAGACATTTTTTGGGCATTAGTTTGGACATTAGGCCTTGCTGGAGCATTAGTGGGCATTGGTGTACAAGATTCTGGTCAGCGGTTTCCCCCTCGGTTTTAAATATCTTTTCAACTTCTTAAGGCCAGTGTCCACGATGCTAGAACCTGGTCCAAGTTCCGGTCCCAAGAAATCTGCAGCCAATCTTATATGGAATAGCTGCAAGTTGATTGGCCACACATTTTTCGAAACTTGGACCAAGTTCTAACATCGTGGACGCGGGTCTCCAGCCAGAAAAAGCATCTGTACACCATCCGGTACGGATCACTTTTCTGGCTACATAGTTTCCGAGCGTGTACTGAAGGCGATCTTAAATATAAGAATCGACTACGAACGAGCCTTAGCGCGCACTCGGTGCGCGCTAGCG